ACACACACACACACACACACACACACACACAGACATACAGAGGATCCAACAAACCTTACCTAAAAAAAGGGGCAAAAGGGACAAAAGAAGAATAAGAACAGAGTCAATACAGTGAAAAACTTAAAAAAGGGGACACAATGCTTTAATGTCAAATTTCATCAACCGTCTCTTCAGGCAAAGAGGACAGGAAAGAAGAGGAAGATTATAGTGATTATCCAGCAGACTTCAATGAGATGCAATGGTTCACCTATGTGATATGCCTACTCCTAAGTATATTAGCAAAATTCAACAGGAGATAGCATGCTCCAACACTGGGCCATTAATTCCAGCACAACAACTGGACACAATTTGCCGCAGTCTCATCTGCCCACAAAGCAGGATGCTTACATAATCTCATGACTGGTGCCAGCGGCAAAAACAAGAGCACAGTCAGCCTCTGCAACTTGTTCTCTCCTCCACACAAAGCACACATCCTTATCACATCAAATAGTCTGCTATTCACTGGTTCATGGCCAGATGGAAATAAACAATGATGGTTACTGAACGCTAAGCTCTGAAATTTCTGCTGTTGTTACCCTCCATAAACTTGTCAGCCTGCCCAGAAAGAAATGAAGCAGCCTCTTGGCCTACTCTGGTCCTTGGCCATGGTCAGCCTGAGAATACCTATGAGAGACAACACTAGGAGCCAAGGCCATATATGTACATGTGAGAGCTGCTAGGGTGGCAGCAACAATAAAACTCAACAACCAGAGCTCACGAGAGCTCAGTGTCTCTGGAGGACAAGTGATTCCTAGAAGCAACATTTTAACATGGAAAGAACAGACCATGCATGCTGTAATTCTGCATGAGCAAAAAAGGTAAAGACTATAGTGATTACCTTACTTTAATACCTTTCTACACTCAAATAAAACCAACAAAAAATACATAACAGCTCTATGTTAACAGTAGAGAGAGGATTCATCATGTTCGTCTTCCTCTACTGGTCAGCCAAATGTCAACACTTAGCATTATTCTGGTAAACTAAGGACACTGTTTAGTTAGGCAGTCTGTGTTCAAATTTTGTCAAGCACACAGTCCAAGACATTTTCAAGACCCCCTTTTCTCACTCTTTTACTTGGCAATACAGTGTACTGAAAAATCCTATTCCCAGAACCATGTAAACAAGGAAATCTGGATTAGATGAAAACAATTAAGCAGCACTATCCTGGACACATGTTTATAGATCTGTATATATAAGACAAGTAAATTTAAGCAACCCAGATACAAGCTCTGCCTAAGCCCCAACACATTTAAGACAACTATGTAATTTGGGCGTGTGCTTTTCACTGTTTTGCAGTATTAGTGGTGTTTCTCAATAAAATGCCAATATTGAAAACAGATGTTACTGCTAGGTTTACAGGAAGGGCAATGCACTTGAGAAAGCATTGCAACTGAGCAAGACTAAGTGAGCGAGGGAGATGGATAAGTCAGACATGACTAAAATGTTATGGATCCAGTGGATAGAAAGGGACATAGAGGAGGAGGCAGATAAGATTAATACCAGAAGCTATGTAGAAAAACAAGCTCCACTCTTAACAGACTGCAAGGACTCGCTTGCCCTGAAGGCATTGACATCACTCATATAGAATGCTATACATCACTCTTTTTGGGCAGAATTCAGGGAAGGGTGAGGCTACGAGTAGAAACAGAAAGGGGAGGAAAAGGAGAAAATGAAGATGCTGATGAGAACAGGAAAGCCAGTGAAGAGACAGGAAATGGCTTGGTGGAGACATGCCAAGGCTCTGCACCACTGCCACTGAGCCAATGAGCCTATGAGCACAGCAGGTCTGAGCTAATGAGGTGCCAACGTCGGCCAAGGTCTAACCCGCACGCTCAGCTATGTGCAGCCTTCTAAGTTCGTGCAATTCAATATAAACAAGGCCATTAGATTACTATGAATGGCCAAGAGAAAGTAAACCTCTCTTAATGCAGCTTTTTAGTCTAAAGCCTTTTACATCTTAGAGAATTTGTTCTAGTGCACAGGTCACTGAGCATTTCAGAGTCACTCTCAAAATACAAAGCAATCCTTAAACTAATAGAGTAATACAATGTAATATGTTCTTGGGCATGCAGTTAGAGTAATAGAAAAGCAGATTTTTAGATTAAATGCTGGACTCATCAATTGTATAAAGTCATAGGTATACAGGGTAAACACTGAGTTTAATGATACAAGAAGTGTTCAACTAATGGGACTGTCCAACAGTGTCTGATCAAATGTCTGCTAGCTACTAGTGGACCTATGGTCCCTATTTCTAACTTCTGTTTGCGGTCTCAGAGCTGTAGGTCGTGTGATGACCAGCACACACACAGCAACCACACAATGGACAGCATAAAAACTTCTTTTTGATTACAAAAATATGGCAATGCAGTGCATTCCTGTAGGGTTGTGGAGGTGCGCGGAGGTGTAGGCATGTTTATTAGGAACTTAGAACATAATGGCTGTAAAACCATCTTTCTTTTTTTTTTGCATTTCTCTGAATCATCACTCTGTTCAATACTAGCTTGCTGATTAACATATTTATAAACTGCCAGCTTATGAGGTTCACTTTACAGTAACAAAACTGGTTTTTACCATCTATGTGACCGAGAGATGAGCCTGGTCAAAGTGCTGGTTAAAATGCTACAAGTCGGTAACTAAGTGAATCAGAAATAATCAGTGCTACAAGTCTCACTCCAACGTTCAGGGACTTGTGGGGTAAAATAACTCCCCCAGAGGGTCTCTGGGCCTCTGTAGTTAAAATCAAGAGGTCCTTCAAAAGTCTTTAGTCCCTGGGAAAGGTTCTTGCAATGGAAAAAACCCAGCTAATGTGTTCTCATTTATTTGCACCCCTATCCAACTAAAATAAATAAATACTCATGTTTTAACATGTTTTTTAACAGAAATCCAATTTAGCTAAAAATGAGATAAGATAAACACTTTATTTATCCCATATTTAGAAAATTCTGATATGATCAGCACATGCTTTCAAGTTCAGGGCATGATCTGAAATAGATAAAACAAAAACCACCATATCAGCAAACTGTATGTTTAAAAGCACTGAATCTGAATGTGAACAAAGGGCAGATTCAACTTTGCTGTCAACTAAAGCATTATGTGAAGATGACTAGCTCCATTCTAGTTCCCAAGCCCCAAAGTCCCTTCCCTAAGTCTTAATCAAGGTCAAGAATATTTTCTTCCCTCTTTCAGTTTAAAGTAACAGCAGTATGAGAGCAAAAAAACAACTACAATGTTTCCTTGAATAACAATCAATTTCACACTACCAGATACAAAGGAAGAAGGCAGAGAAAAGATAAAGAGAAAAGAAAATCTAGCACAAAAAAATAAAATAAAATAATACAAAAGGGGGAATGTGAGAGGAAAGAAAATGATACATAGTGTTCCAATACCATCATACATTGAACTTAAGTGTAAAGAAGAGTGTGCCCTTACCCTGCATGGTTTTGCCAAGGCCTTGGCCCAACTTCCAGCCATGTTTCTGAAGCAGCCGGTGCCCGATGTTATCCTAGCAGAGAGAGAAGAGAAGAAAAAAACCAAAAATATTCCAATAATAAGAGGAGCTTTACCCGTAGCACGGGTGAAAAATAAAATAAAAACAAAATTAAAATTAAAAAAACACTAACAAAGAAAAAATAAATAAATAACACTCAGATCACGCTACCATCATCAGCACAACCACCACCACCAACACCATCGTCATTATCGTCATCACCTACAGCGTGTAATAATCAGTGTCTTCCAGCACAAAGAGTGGTAAGGGAGGCTGGGTGTGGGGGAATAAAAAGTGGGAGACTGAGAGGAAGGGTTGAATTCAACTATGAACAATACATGAGGCTATATGTAATCTGTAAACTACAAGATATCCTCCTGAAGTAGGAGTGCATTTTAAAAACCTTTATTAGGCAAAGAAACTGGGCGTGATTATTTCTATATTTTTCCATTGATAAAGGTAACACATGAAGTCACATCCACTAACTGAGAAGTTAAGAGGAGGAGGAGTAGGAAGGAGGAAGGAGAGGGCGATATATGTATCACACGCATACATATATGAACCACTACAGAGCAAGATCTCAGTACACAAAGAAAAGTAACACAGAACAGGTATGGAAATCTAGCATAAACAAAACAAAGACCAGAAACTCCAAGCTTGCTGTGATTCTGTAACCATGACGAGGAGAGCACCATGAAACATATGCAGCTGTCACAAAAAATTATAGCAACAGGAAGAGACAGAAGTGGAACTAGTGGGCCTTGGATTACCATTACAAGGCCCAGGGTGGATAGAATATGCATGTGTGAGGGGATATGCGGGTGTGCAGGTGAAGAGAGGAACACATTGTGTGCATGTAGCCCCACCAGATATACGAAAAATAGCTGTTGTGCTTGTTTTTGGACATCCTTAGCGGCTCTGGTCTGTTATCAATCGTCACATCCCACCAATTTCAACACTTATAATTTGATATTTTCATAGATACCATTAGTATTCAGAAATGAGAAAACATACCTTCAAACTACTTGAGGCCTCTGAACGTGCGTGCAAGGCTTTTCTTTTAATACTAATGATTTCTATGACAAATGCATCACAAGATCAAGCAACTGATAATGAACCAAAGAGGCAAGAGGAGTGCAAAAACATACACAACAGGAACTCTTAGCACACTGTGGGGCCAAATGTGCATGTCGGAGACCGTTATATCACTAGTATGGGTCAGCAAGAAAACAAAAACATTAAGTGAAATGCAAGACCGTCCCACCACTACACACTACAGTACATCCTCAAGCACAAATAAACAGGTAACGATGAGATTTCTTAATAAGCAGTGTTTTGCTGTTGTGATTATAACTATTCCAAGCTTGTCTAACATTCACCAGAGTGCTGCATTCTACCAAAAAACATACAAACCAAACAAAAAGGATATTTATAATCACAAAGAGATTGACATCAACTTTCACAAACAGAAAGTGAAGGGGTTTAAACAGAAAAAAAAACTGCATGCAGCTTTTTGTTAAAGAGTTTTAACAAAAAGGGTCGTCGGTGTTAGTAGCGCACTGTGAATGGTACACATACAGAGGAGTGGGGCGGGCTGAGGGGTGTGGGCGGGTTAACAAAACTCCAACTGTGTTAGTCTCAGGTGGTTCAGGCACAGAGAGGAAAGTGATGGCTCAACGGGGCTCAATTAGTTCTCTTTGGTAAAAACAGGAGGTTGGGAGCAGAACAGAGCAGGCTGAGCCATGATGAGGGTGAGTTTCTAGGGTGGTGAAAGTGAACTGGGCTTGTATGAGTTAGTGCATGTGAAGGGGAGTGGTACTCACACACGCAGTGTGCATACTGCATCTCCGCCCACGAGACTTTAATTGAGATACATCTGGCTGTAGCCCTTTTTTAAGGTGGTTTTTCAAAGCAAACTGTTGCCTTCCTTTGCCCTATTTTACAAGTGACATACTTGTACAATATGACATACTCTGGAAACTTAAAAATACTTTGCATTTTGGTGACAAGAATAACATATCCAAATCATCTGGCTGATGTTTGCAGCAAATGCTCAAGAAAGACTCAAATTCTTCACATCTTGTTTCTGTTACAGTTTGATGGGTTGGTTTTTTTGGGGGGTTTTTTTTACTCCTTTACTGTGCAAATGTCAGATCCTTTCCGCTGTAGAATGAGATAAGAGAGAAATATGCGCTGGGACTAACATGGCAGGAAGGCAACTGGAGACAGACTGCCTGAATCAACTCCTAAATCAGGACACTGAAGGCTAAATTAAAAAGTCTTGCAAATCACTGTTTATTACTTGTTGCTGCCTAGCAGTTGGGCAAGGACTTATATGAATTAGAGGCTTTATGGCCACTAAGGATCATTTCTTCATGCCTAATAGACAAAATGTGCTCTGAATTTATTGTTAGGGGAAAACACTGCAGAATTTGCTGCAGTGAAAGCCACTCCTGTTCTTGACACAGGACCTGCTTCTGTCCTTAACTGCAATACTGGAGTCTGACAAGACTCTACACAGAAAAGCATTTATTGATGGGGGGAATTAGCTGACCTATGAAGAAGGAATTGAGAAAATAAAATCCACCCTGAACTAACTGCTGAGAAAGGCACTCCCTCATCCCCTGCGCAATTGATGTTAGCTGATTTATTTTTCCAGCACAAAATGTGGTTGTTAGGGGAAAAAAAGACTCAGACTCAAGTGCCATAAATGTATATGCTCCCTTTCACAAATCAATCTTTTGAGTTTAAATCAAGTAATTATACTAGGAACCCCCCCCCCCCCAAAAAAAAACAAAACAAAACAAAACAAAAAACAACTAAACAAACAAATAAAAAAAACCCAGCAAGGGCATGTTGGATGAGGCAACAGTTCCAACTGCTGACAGTAAGAAAACGATGCGTTCAAAATGTGTTCAGCAAAAGTTAGAGGGCGGAGATGAGGAGCAGACTGGGTGTTGAACAGACGAGTGCACCAAAAGAATAGACAGACAGACAGATGAAAGCAACGACGGCGAGTCCAACAGCAGTGCAAGTGGAGTGAAGGCATTTCCATACGAACCTGGCTTTAAAATACTGGGCTGTCAAAAAAACAGTCACACGTGACACAACGTAAGAAACCGGCCAAACGCTTTCAACTGCAATTCTGCTAGCTTCTCTAGTTCTTAAAAATACAAATCTCTCTCTGCTTTAAAACAAACATAATACTGTATACAAACAGAAAAGGTAGGCATTTCAATAAATCCACCAACTGACTGTTAATATAAGAGAAAGAAAAAAAATAGAAAATGTTATCCAAACAAAGACCTCTACAAGAGGAGGTGTTCAAGAGTGTGCAATGTGCTTTCAATGGCACAGTGCATGGCAACATATATGTAAAAAGGAAAGTGATATGCAGGGGACCCCATTTAGAGACCTCAGAGTATTTACTTTTAGTGAGAGCCTATGCAGCCATTTTAATGAGACAGTATGTGTGTGTCCCTGTCAGAGTGTGAGAAATTGCTTTAGCTCAGATTAACAAAGACATGCCAACACTGGACAGACATACTCATAAACGTATGGACCGAAGCTAACAAAAACCACGTATTTTCAGTGGTGGTAGACAAGATTGCTTTCTGCAGCTCCTCGTTCATTTTAGCAATTGCCTTGAAAGTGAAGCTCTGTAGTTGTCAGTTACTCTACGTATGACTAAATGAAAACAACCATCTAAGAGCATGAAAAGGCAAAAAAATAAAATAATAAGCCTATTTGTATGTGTAGATATGGCAGATTTTAAAGATTTCACTTACTAATTTAGGGAGAAAGGGGGGGGGTCAATTTTATTTCATTTATTTAAAATAAAATAACTAAAAACACGTACTTACCTCATAATTCTGAAGCCACAATTCAAGGTGAGGGAATTTAGCAGTGTAGTTAAGAAATAAACACCTCCAAACAGATAAGTGTTCCTGTTCTTTGTGTGTGTGAGAGTGTGTTGATGTCCAATAGCTACTTAAATCATTTGTGATAGTCTCAATTATGACCCCTTTGGTAGCTGTGGTAAATTTAGAGCCTGTGGTGTTGTGAAAATGTGGGTCAGTTGTGTTTGACCTTTTGCTTGTGCTGTTGTTCTTCCTACCTTTTATGTGACAGATGTCAAACAAGGACAAACAGCTGTGTCAGATACTGTCTGGCTGTAATGCAAGACCCTACATACTTCAGTAACAGCTGATACACTGTCACCCAAATGTTCCTCTTAGAACCTTGGTAACTTTGAGACAATCATAATGTCTACAAGAAGCCTAGAAATACATAATAAAGAAATAAATCTCCCTGTGGCCTGAATACTCATGTTTCTTGGATTGCACATCTGTGTGGTTTCTGTGGCTCTGAGGCTGCCCACTGCATATCGCTCTGGTACTGGGTCAGGTCAGGGAAGGAAGGAGGATGGTAGGATTGAGGGACTAGGAGGGTCAAGAGACGTGGGGGAAATGAGTCTGGGAGAAAAGGTTGTAGTTGTGATTAAGACAGAGTGTTGAGCGGAAATAGTACTGAATGCTATCAAGTTAACACATGCAATGCAAAAAACAGTGTTAGAGAAAATAGCAAAGACCAAATGGGAAAGATAGGAAGAGAAAAAAAGATCCCAATAAAGTACCACAGACCTCTAGCTGCCTATAGATCACACACAATAAGTGGCTGGGGAGGGGCTCCGAGAAGCTGGGCCAAAGCATTCACCAACAGCTCCGAGATGTAACACTGGTGATCAAGTGCCACAAATTCTACTGCCTTAGAAGTTTTCACTAAGGAAGCTGTGATAGAAGTGTCAACATAAAAACTTCGCTTAAAATTTAATGCAGACTTTCAGATCTACTTGTATTTATGTGTCGTTTACATCCAAGTATGAAATTCTGTTTTTAAAACATGCTTTTGGGGATTTGGTCAGCGTAATATAGTTACGTTTTTTGCTTTAAAAACTGTACTACACTTTTTTAAAAAATATTAAAATTAAGAACAGCCTCATAATATCTTCTGAATCACCAAATATCATCTGATATTTGCTTGCATTGCAGTACTGTGCAAAAGTCGTGAGTCACCCCTCGGTTATTTATATTTTGCTAGCGAATGGGAAATAGGTGAAGTGACTTATTGAAACATCTGCAAAAAAAAAAAAAAAAAAAACCCCAAAAAAAACAGTTTGTACAATTCTAATGAGTATGAAAGTCAAAATTTGGAATGAACACCTTTATTCATCAGCACACCCTGAACCTTCTTAAGCTTTCTTATCATTTATTTAAGCAGTCCTCAGGAATAGTACTCCAGGCTAATTAGAGGTCAGTTAAAAACTCTTCTTTGGATGATGGCTGCTTTTTGAACAGAACAGAAGTTCTGTTCAAAAACAGAAGTTCAGCCAAGATGATCTCACAGTGCTTCAATAATGTTGAGGGCCATGGTCTGGGGAGACCAATCCATGATTGTTAATGTTCCAAAGTGTGCATTTCTATAAAAAGGCATGCCTTTACTGCACTGCACCGTTGTCAGGCTGAAAAATGAAGGTGTTGCCCGTATTTTTTGTGATCATAATTCCTTAAATTTAGAAAAGATCTTAAACAACACTGGTTGAAAGGCAGCCCCAAACCATGACAGAGCCTACAACAGGTCTTACAAATGGTTGTACCCCTCTCCTGAACTCTTCCACACATATTGATAACAATATCATGTTTCTTTTTCTCACGTTTAATGTTTTCTTTCAGATAAATTTATTTGCTTTTTTTTTTGTTAAAGGCCTGCCATTTTGTCCTCCAGTTCTTGAAACTCAAATATTTTTTTAAAAAAACATTACATGGGGCTAGTGACAAAGTGCCTAAGGATATTATTTAAATGTGGTTCTTTGCTACATTTTCAGTTATGAGTAGAGTAGAAACAACACAGGTTCAAATCTTGAAAAGGTGCCTTTTTTATGCTCCAGTGACTCACAGGTCAGTGTTAAGTGGCATTAAAAAAAGAAGAAGAAAAGAAACAAAAAACAAAGAAACAATAGCCTCTGAAAATGGCCTCTCGTTTTAAGAGCTAGTCTTAAAATACATGAAAAAGTATTTAATGTCCAAAGAAAAACCTTTAAAGACCTTCAGAAAGACTGGAGAGCTATTGCACAAGGCCACTTAAAAAAATTACAAGAAGGTCTGGCTATTTGAAAGGAAAATATGAATAAATGGTGGGTGCCTAAATACTTTTGCACAGCACTGTCGGTAAAATCACCTTGCTTTTGAGCATGCACCATCCAAAACAATTATGTTCAATAACACTAACGGTACTGGCAATTAAGTGACAGTTGACAACACCTCTGCTGACGTGTGAGGAGCTGTGTGATGCTGCAGCATGGCCCTCAGGACCCCTCCACAAATAATAGCGCAGGAGCAAAAGAGCCACTTAAGCCGGGTGAGCAGGCCACCTCTCTCCCCCTCACTGTTTTCTCCCTCTCTAACCCACACGGTACAATCATTTTTGTATCTGTGAGGAACTGCTTCATACATAAAATTCTACATAGATAGAATCTTTTAATGTTCTTGGTTAACAGAGTACTACCTACTACCCTTTCTTAAAAATTCAACAAGGCTTGGTCAAATCAAGGGCTCGGTAAAATCCTTTTATAGCATACAGCTATGTTTACTCCAAAACATGCAGGTTATTTTTCAAGCTAATATTGAGGTTAGAAATTATTTTACAGTACTTATAATTCACCTGAGTTCATAATTTTTCATCCATCATTATACTCATTTACTATTGTATACTCTGTGATTAAAGAATTTGTTTCTGTTTTTATAATAATTTAATTGTATTTCAGAGTTATTTAACTCTATGTGGTTACTGATTCTATCTGACATGCTTCATAAAGTGACCTAAAACTGAAAGTAAGCAGAGTTTGAGCCTGCTCACCACACTGCTTGAGAGACAGAACGGGGGTATGGAGAAAGTAAGAAAGACAGAAAGAAGACAGCTGCCTGCGCTATTATCGAAGTGCCTTTTCAGCGAAAAATGCAGTCCCAGTTGCACAAGCACCATGCCAGCACAGAATGACAGAGGGTACTGTACACCGAATCACTGTGTAGTAGGGAGGGAGCGAGAGAGAAACTGAGGTAGAGAGAGAATAGATGTAAAGTTTAACAGTAGTGAAACAGAGATAGCCAGAGAGAGAGAGAGAGAGAGAGAGCGAGAGAGAGAGAGAAAGATAGTCAGAGAAGCGTTACAAGGACCCTAAAGATAGGAGTAAGAAAGCAGAGCGTGCAAATACAAACCGGGTCATTGCTGCTTAGCTAATAGGGGCCAATTCGCTGCAGGAGAGAAATGTCGAACACCCCAAGTTGTGTACAATAAGATAACTGTCCTATAGACACAAACACTAACACACAAATTCTAAAGCTACATAGACACACACTCACTCAAACACAAATGTATCCACTCACACCATCTAATGTGCACTCGCTTGTTTGCTAAATGGGGTGGAATAAGCACTGCATAGTTTTCATAAACATAAATTTGACAAACTGCAAAACAATCAGATATACAACTGTAAACTAACTAATGTGGTCATTTTAAAAACATATCTGCACTGCAAAATGCATTCTATTGGTCTTCCTTTTTTTAAGACTTTATTTAGGACTACATAAATTAAATTAAAAAAATACAAATGAAAAAAAGCCTTGAAATCTCAAAGTGACTCATAAAAAAATATAAGTGACCAGCTTTGTTTAGCATATAAACTCATGCTACACCTATGTGTAACGTGTATGCAGTTTTCATATTAAAATATGTATGAATTTTTCTGTAAGTACTCAAAAACCAGCCACTAATGACAGTGCTTCATCCACTCCATGGTTTCACAGCAATTTCTTCTCCTAGCGCTTAGATGACTAACAATGACTAATGGGAAACTGATACAAAAATCTAACGATTATCTTTAAGCTCTACATAAAACAGGAACATCTAGCCTATACATACTTATTTTGAACTGTCACACAAGAAATGGAGTAGGCATAGGACATGGGAAGTGGGGCGGGGGGACTTAAAGGATATTAATGCACATGAGACAAGTGATTCTACAAGTTAGGTGGCAATGTGTTCAAGAAAACACTGGATGCAGCTACACGGACAGTATGAATGGAGTAAAAGGTGTTGTTCTTATTGCTCCCTGGACCAATCATATCCACTCTCACAGCTGGTCCAATGGTGCAGGATGATGGATGCAGCCTTACCGATTCGATGGGCTTGTCCAGGGATGCCTGCTCCAGCTCCAACTGACCCTCTTCATACTGGTCAAAGTGATTCCCACCCTGATGGACACATTTAAAAGTGTAAAGTAGAAATATATCAGAAAGCAGAAAACTAGTAGAAAAGTGGTCAATTAATAAAGAAATAATTGGCAACTACTTTGATAAAAGAAGCAGTTTAATATTTTTATTTGAAAATGACTTAACATCATTTGGTCTTCTGACTAATAATTTGACAAAACACGCTTTTTAAACACAGACGAAGATCTGTAATTTTTCACAATTTTCTCACATTTCAGAGATCAAATGATTCATCTGAATTGAGAAAATAGCTGTTACTTAGACACGCAAGTGAAAATAACCATTAGTTGCTGCAGCACTGATAGCAGTTCACAGGAAGAAATTTGTAGGAAGAACTCAGGAATGAACATAAAATCTGCATTTCAAGACAACACATTGCTTGATTCTTATGTCTGCACTTTCAAAACAATGAGACAGCAATATGAAGGGAGGAGTGTTCTGTGCCTGGTACACCTTTACGCCGCCCTTTACACTGAGCAACAGACCAGCACACAAATAACTAAAAGATCTGATAACCTTGACTAAAAACTAAAGTGACAGCTGAGTTCCATTTCTTTATTTCACGTTAAATTTCTTCCAGCAGTTACAGTGACTTAATGCTTCCTCAGGATATCTGACTGAATATGAAGTAGGGCTGCTCGATTATGGCAAAAATGATAATCACGATTATTTTCACTGAAATTGAGATCACGATTATTTGACGATATTTATTTAACCCTTTAAGACCTACTATAGAACCAAGTCCACCAGAGCTTATATTATTATTATTATTATTATTTTTTTTTACATGCTGTAGTGCCATTTGTGGGAGCATTTCAAGTTGCTATACATCAATACAACTGTTATAGCCCATATTTTAATAATATGTATGCATTAAGTTCATAGTAATTACATAAATTGCAAAAAAGTGCAATAAACTACAAAAAAAAATTGAAAATCGCTTTTGTTTTGTTTACATATATTTCTACTTGGAGAAATTTAAGAGGTTTATCCCTCAAAACTTTAAATACAATAAAATTGCAAAAAATAGTTTACAACAACAGGAAATTTATTTTGAGTGTCTTCATAGTTTTATTTTGGAGATGCAGCAATTTTTATATACTGCAGGAAAAACAAAAAACAATCCTATGATGCAAATTTGCAAAGAAAACAGCAGGTGCATCACTTCACTGTGGGAAGTGTTACGAACAGCTGATAGGAACGGCAAAGCGTGTTTCTGGAATATTATGTTTTTGTTCCTGCAAGCGCTTTTTATGCAGTTTTTGCAAAGCTATATGTGGAACGAAACCGTGACCGAGGACAAGCTGATGGCATCAGATGTAAGTACAACTCCTCCGGTTTCATATGCAAAACAAATTATTGCGCTAGCTTACACGGTTCAGGTTCTACAGGGATTTAAAAATAGTTACGCAAAACGGAGCGTGCTGCTCTGACCGGCTTTAAAGGTTAACAATGACTTTAAAAAAATAATATAAAATAATGTGCAACACCACTGAAGTTTTTTTTTTTAACTCTTTTCAACCAACGGCAGTCACTCTCCAAATAACTTCTGCTTAGCTTTCCGAGCTTCCCTCGGGTCCTCTTAATCAGCGGTCTCCAACCTTTTTTGCGCCACGGACCGGTTTATGCCCGACAATATTTTCACGGACCGGCCTTTAAGGTGTCGCGGATAAATGAGGGAGGGGCTAATAATCGGCTCAGTCATTTTTAATGATCGTTGAAAGCCCAGATCGTAATTGTGATTAAAATTCGATTAATTGAGCAGCCCTAATATGAAGCATAGCTTTAGAAATACAAACTGAATCTTGGGTCAGGCTGAGAGTGAGTAATGGGCTTACCACCCCAACTGAAGGAGTGAGCTTACAGAGCAGTTTCTACTCAGAGACAGATGGCTTCCTTTCTCTGGCAGCAGAGGAGAGACAAAGGTCATGTTTATGAGTTTGCTTTATTCTACCCTCAGAATTATGAAAGACTACAAAGATATTGGACTTACTATTTACTTGTAGCATCTACAAACAGGTTAGTGTGGACAGGTAAATCAAAAGCAACTATTAAAAAAAAATAGAAAAGAAAAAGAAGCAAAGTTTTGTAAGCAGAAGAATATTTAGTTTCCCTCTATATTCCTAAGTCTTCTTGCACTGGATGATAACTGTTAATACTCTACAGCATACATCACTTTGGTCATTTTGTGAAACTCTGAAAAGAAATGTCTGTTTAAAAACAAAAGAAACCAATGCTTATGTGGCTGGGCAATGGAACTGCAGCACTTTTTTTTTCAGGAAGCCTGGTTTTGCAGAGATAAGCAACTATTTAATTCAGCCTACTATAATGAGGTGATGAGATGCCATACTTGCTGTCATTAATTCAGACGAAACAGGACCCTGCATCAGTATGAGCGAAGCCGGGGATTATGAGAAGAAGAGCTGCTTGGGAAGCGCAAAGGGCTTATTTGTGAACAAATCGATGGCTCCCTGCAGTTCCCCCCTCATCTTCTCTTCTACTGACTTTCTGTCCAAACCACTTAATGTGCTATCAACACTGCCTCTATCCACCACAATGACTTCTAATTTTCACTGCCGTTTGCTTCCTCATCACTCTGACTCTTAATACAGGAACCCCACACCAGTGCTGCATAGAAATGACTCTGACCATGTTCTCCAATCTGCATTACGAGAGTAAACTGCCACTTGTGCTATTGCAGTTAAATAGATGTCCCATACCACATCGCATTAGGAAATGAGAGTTACTCTATGCAGGAGCTCATGAATTGTGTTATATTATTCTGCAAGTCAAGACTAGTCATGTTCTACAGGTCCAACAGCACTGCTAAGTCATTAAAGAGGACAGGGTTGTTGGGCTAGTTGTGCTATAGATATTAGGTAGACCATCTGTGGGTGTTTCCTGAATAGTGTTGCTTGGCAGCAAGCTTTTATCCATGGAGTCAGAGAGAAACTTTCTGAATACTGAGCATATGAATGCCTTCGCAGCAGTTCTCACATACAGAGCTCTACTGTGCTGTGCTGGAGCTGCCCTCAACAGACTCATTCAGACCACACAGCAATTCATCTCTCACTGACAAACCAGCAAAAAAAACAAGTTCCACAGTGGGTGCAGAGGGGGAAAAAACAAAACAGTTTCTTATATGCAAGCTTATAATTAGAACTTAATTGCATGTCTGGTAGTTTGTCACAACACTGCTCAAAGAAACAGCTGATTTCCAACTGTAATTATGTTTGATACTATTACCAAAATACACCCAACTTTAACCAAAAAGCTTAACACCAGCCCAAAAGATTACATGCTTTAATGTCATTTTTAAAATGTATCTTAATAACGGAACAGAAAAATCTAAGCAATAGGAGCAGAAATCATAGATACAAGCATTCATCCATGGATTAGCATTCAATTAAAAGCTTTAAACTCATAAACTAACCCAGCCTGAACACTGCTATCAACACAGAAAGTCTCCTGCTTTTTTACAAAAAGTATAAAATAAAGGGGACATAGACATGACAAAAAGAACTGAACTATGTCCATGTATGTACAATGAGGCAATGCAAGTTTTTCAAATAGATAGGGTGATGCTTCCTAGAATCAGTGTTTTGAAATCTCCATGCTAAATGTGTTGGTGATGGGCTTGTTTTATTTATTAAAACTCCTTCCACATTAGTGTACTGTAATTAAGAACAGAAAAGCATTAACGTGTGCATCAGAATGATATCTGAGATTCAAATCGCCACACTGCCATGTATCCACTCTTTTGAAGTATCTTTGAACCAGATAACACATTTCAAACAGATGTTAAAACAGTTACTTTATTCTCACTTGTAGTAACAGCTTATAGACCGCCCAACAACAACAACGTCAAAAGTGGGAAGTCCACAAGAATTAAAAAAAAAAAAAAAGGTTTAGATGTTTGAAAGAATTGAGTTACACAGTGGACGAATGACCCTCTAGCGAAGGGTTTATAATTAAACAATACCAACAGTAAAGATGCAAGTTTATTTTGTAGTCTAGTAAGCATAACAGTATTTGGTTTCTACTGGGTGCGGTCTTAGATCCAAGATAGGCTTGTGGGGGACAAACAGCTCAAACAGAGGTTGTGAAATTAATCTATTCAGCTACAGAACCAAGCCAAATATACAACCTGAATAACGTCATGTGACAAACATAAGATTTTTAACTGGCATCGGAGATGTACTTATTAAGATAACGCAAAATATTTACAAAGACTCCCAGTTACTGTGTCAATATTCAGCCAGACGTTTAAATGCGGGTGGAAACAAAACAAAAGTGTCATCGGTGTGAAACCAATGCTAAAAGACAGTTCATTTACACAGTTACATTAGCAGATAATCAGTATATGAATGACCAAGGACACTGTACTTAAAATGTGTCGCTAAACATGCTCCTAACTTACACTGTGTTTTCAAGTCGATACCGGGGGCAATTTCTGAATAATATCCGACAGCTATATGTTGCTAGATTCATCTTGACCTGATGATGACCAACTGTGGTGGAATTTCAGCTGTCAAAATAATACAGCCATTTATGGCTAATAATGCTACAACAGCTCAATGTGCGTACAAGCTAGCTATGTTAGCTCACTATCCATCCTTAGCATATGTCGAAAAATAATCAGAATGCCCAAGGTCACTAATGAGCTAATTGGGACTCCAGTATCTATTTTGCTGTTGCGTGGTTAAATGTTTGTAGTTTCAGAAAGAAACGGTTGATAATGAAGACGATAATCCAAGACATGGGTCAAATATAGCACTCAGGCGAACACTGAGCCGTAAGGCAAGTTAATATCAAAAGAGCCGCAGTGCACTAGCGTTAGCATAGCTAGCTTGCAGTGCTAGCAACGGGGATCTAGAGCGAAATGCACGATGGTGTACACGATACGTCAAAACTGTCCTTAACCTTCAAATAGATATTAACTTACTGAAACACCTCGACACTTTAAAAAATATGGAGGTGGACCAAATATTTAACATGCATTACCTGGAAATCACGCTCTTCGTTGAACCTAGAAAATCTGTCGGCCATTTTCTGAACGCAGCAGCAGTTGTGTACTCGCTCAGTCTGTGTCCAACAGAAGCGCGCTGTGGTGGGGAGGACGTTCTGCGGTGAATTTACACTTCACTGCCAATATCCACCAACAACTTCCAGCGTTGTACATGGAAAGCTAGACCGTATCAACATGACTACGTCTACACAATGTGTATTTTACTTGTGTGAATGTTGAAGTGTTAGGCAACCGGAGAGCAGAGTGACCTAGTGTCCCACTTTTTGCGAGACAACACAAACGTTTTTATCTCAAATACTGAGACAGTGACCGACATTTTGATTGAGTCTAATTTTAAACTTACGCCTCAAAGAGGACAAATGGACAGGACATTAGCTAAAATTATTAGTTTTTGTTGTCACTTTAATTTGTTAGGTTCTACAGTGGGTTTGCTCATTTCAGTTTTGTTAAAGTGTTTCTTTTTTGTTTAGTTTTTAATATTTTCCATGTTAATTTTAGTTTGTCTTTGGGTGGTTAAGAGGGTAAGAGCAGTTCAATAATAGAAAGAATTAATTCACTTGAATTAAAGCTGTGAGACAAAAGGGGGCTCCTTAAAGGCATGGAACCAATTCTTCTCATGCTGGTTGTGTTTGGCATATCTGAGCAAAATAACAATGACAAAGAATGAAACTAACTTAGTTTTTTGTTTCATTGAATTTAATGCCCTAAGACAGTAAAAACAAATTAAGCTTACGTTTACTTAATAAGTTGGAAATAGCATTCGAACAAAAAATATTGGGTCATTGTATTCTGTTAATTACTTTCAAGGCAAGTGATGATGCCATAATATCTGATATAGATAAGAACCTCCAAGGGCCTTAGACCAACACATTTCTCACATGATAATATATTGTATTAAATAGACTACTCATTTGAGTAAACTAAAAGATAAGCATGTATATATATATATTTAAAGTGCTTTCTGCTTTATCATAGCAGAATGCAAACAACAGCAAGAAATTTAAATAGGTTAAATAGGTGGTTACTTACGAACAAATACATAAATAAATTAAACAAATAAATAAAGGCTTTGTTTATGTGCAATTTAGCATAGAATTATTAAATATCTCCCCTTGCGCATTACATGACCCTAGAAAACTTCAAAAAATAGAGGTTGTAGATGTCGTTTCTATGCTAAAATTACCTTATTTTAGACCGTTGCTAGGTGGTTGCTAAGGATGTATAATCAGACCTTTGCTGATATAAATGAGAAAGAAACATTATATGAACCTTTTATGTGTTACTGGTGCATAAATTATATAACTGGTGATTTTATTTTGTTGCTCAGTGGCTACTAGGCGACACGATGATGCCATGATATCTGATATAGATAAATACCTTCAGGGGCCCAAGATGTACTTCTTTTGGTTTGGTTTCTCAACTCCTGTTGATCTGGGGGGTGGGGTTAGGGTGAAACATCTTATTTGGAATTTGATCTCAACAACATCTAGGCCTACATTTTTAAAAAACTGGGACAGCAGCATGTTTTGTAGTTTCGAAAGCAAAACTATTTTCTTATTCTTGTTTGACATTCTTGTTTGTTTTACGGTTCATGGCTTTATTTTTCATATTTTTTTTTGTTTCATGATGCATAATGTGTGGCATGAAACCATTGTAGGTGTGCCAGTTTATCACCTGCATTGTTTTTCTACAAAGCCACACTGTTGTAATACTTGTAAAATGTGGCATTGTTTTATTGAAGTAGGCAAGACCTTCCCAGAAAAATATGTCAAAAGGATAGCAGCATGTCTAACTTTCACATTTAACCTGTACAAATACACCCTTGTATTTTTAAAGATATTGGCCTAAATTAAAAGCAAATGTTAGTTTGTCACACCAGAAGATAGTTTTCCACTTTGCATCAATTAGAAATGAGCTTGAACCCAACATCTAATAGATTGTTTGTGTTCTGTTATTAATCAGATGGTATATTATACTAAAAGTATTGAACTGGTTGGTTTCAAATAAATATCTTGTGTAATGCTTGCACAAGTGATGGGTGCATGACAGATTACATACACAATGCAAATGGAATGTAAAGAGGTACACAAACAGTAGCTATATAATGTATGCAAATGGCTAAAACAAGCAAGACAATTTCCAGGTAAAAGACAATGGTCAAGCACTATATACCAAATAACTAGAAAGGCACACAGGATTTCTCTGTCTGAAACGTGTAGTTTGGTAGACAGTTGTAAGCTAGGCTACTTTGGAAACAAAAATGCATTTCTGTCTCAAAGATGCTTGTAAATGACAGAATCAGCTTGAGTGGAATACTTAGCTAAGAAAATCTATTGCCGTTGGTCAGAAAAGTGTCAAAAAATGTTACTTCGTACAGAAACATACCCCCTCCCGGGCTGTCACCCTCTCTGGTTTGCATCCACACCTAAGGGCATCTCAGAACGTTTTTCAGATGAAGCCACAAAATGTTATTTGTAAAGCACATTTCAAGTTAAATATCACAAAGTTCTTTACAACAAAAATAGCACAACATCAATGCAAGTTTAAAAAGCTGACTTTTTAAAAATCCACCAACTTCACAGTGCTCAAGCTCAGTGGGAGACAGTTCTGTTCCCTTTAGTTCTCAGCCTTGTCTGATGCACAACGAGCAGGCCTATAAACTCTGAGCTTCCTCAAGGCCTGCTTTAGGGATATATGCATGTAAAAGTTCACTGATGTACACTGGTGCATTTTCATGCAGACCTCTAAAAGTCAAAACCTGAATCTTAATGTGGACTCTAGTGTTAATTGGTAGCCAGTGCAGCTGAATGAGTAACAATGTGAGCACTTTGAAGACTTAATCAAAAACCTCACATTGGCTTTCTGAACAACATGCCGATGTTCCAATGAGGCTTTGTTGATACAAGTAAACAATGAATTACAGTAATCTAAACATGATGAAATAAAGGCATGAATAACAATTTCCAAGTCAAATTATGACACAATGGAACTCAATTTGACTGTATTTCATAAGTGACAAAAAACAAGAGTGAACCAGAGATTTAAAATGATCATCCACAGTGAAGGCAGAAGCAAACGTTGCCAGAGGGTTCCTGGTAGAAAATTTAACAAATGTGGCCTGGGAACCTAGGGTTCTATTACCTTAGGTACAAATATGTAACTGAATGTCATTTGCATAATAGTGATAAGAAATGACATCAAAAGTGCTTGAGATGCAATGAAGAGCAAGCAGCTATGACAGTAAAGCCCCCAGAACAGAACCTTGTGGCACTCACTTAGAAGGCAGCCAGAAAAACAGATCATTTATACAGATAGTACCACTCCAAAACAGACCAGTATCTCCAGTATCCAGTATCTCAGCCTATGAGGCATAATGTGATGGTCAAGGCAGATATCTAAGGCAGAGGTCAAGTCCAGTATTAGCAAAATGAAACATTCTCCTACATTACTTAACATTATCAATACATTATCAAGATTTAAATGGGAGACTCTAGGAAGAAGTCAGTGGGATGAGCTCCATGAAAGTGGTTAAAACAGAAGCTAATGCTGTTCTAACAAGACAAAATGGAAAAGACAGTGATCGTTAAAAAGATCCATTGAGAGATCAGCATCATTGTATAAGTATCAACATGGTTCTATGGATGAAACTGCTAAAACTACCTTGCGCATAGGCTTACATGTTTGATTTTTGAGGTGAAAACCTCCACGAAGTTTAGGATTTTAAGCAAATTATTTTAATCTAAAAAGGTTTTTTTACATACCCATTTAAATTAAATTGCCTGTCTTTAAAAATGAAACTAACATTGGATTAAAAACTCAATATTTTGGCCACTAAAATTAAATGACAAAATCCTTATTCATTGGTGGTGGCTAATAAAAATGTCATTTAGAGATGCAGAAGCAGATAGACAAACATTTTAAGAAGTTAGATATTCATGAGGAAAAAAAGAGACTGACATTGTGCAAAAGAGTAGTGGAAATAGTATTAATATATAATGTCTACACTATAAATCAAAGAAATGAGCAGTAAGGTATAATACAGAAATCTATAAGTATTTTTGAAAACCTATTACCTGACAAGTGTATTCATCTATTATAGAGTAGTAGAAGAATGTAGGAATGTAGGAATGTATCACTGTAGGAATGATTTCCTGAAATGTTCTTTAGGACAAGTGAGTTCTGCTGCATCTGTAGTGCATTATCCTGTTCAACAAGTGATTGAAATGTTTATAAAAAATAATGAGCGTGAAAGATACCAATTTAAACACACAACTTAGACTTCACATCAGTGAAGCTCAGAGGACAATGCATGTCGTATGGCCCCGTGTATTAACCTGTAAAAGACTTAAGTAGGTTATCGCTCCATCTTGTGGTAGATTCATATAAATACAGATATTTTTCTTACACCATGACGTAGGGGCTGATGATATGCTGTGTTAGATTACTCATCATTGTTATCATTTATTTGTCCAGGTAAAAGTCTCAGAGAGATTTAGTGAGTGAGTCAGTGAGTCAGTCTTTTTCAAGAGAGACCTGGCCAAGAGGGCAGCAGATGTTACAGCAAATACACATAAAATTATAACAATTACAAAAACAAATACGAATGATAATCAGTACAGACATGTCAAGACAAACATTTGGATGATATGCAATAACAGATCATTGGTAAGTGGTAAATGGCCTGTACTTGTATAGCGCTTTAATAGTCCCTAAGGACCCCAAAGCGCTTTACACAACCAGTCATCCACCCATTCACACACACATTCACACACTGGTGATGGCAAGCTACATTGTAGCCACAGCCACCCTGTTGCGCACTGACAGAGGCGAGTACAAGAGTAATAATAAAAAAGATTTCCATTTATATTTTCAGATAAAAACCAACCAATGGGAAAGTCTATGGATATTGGCTACTTGGCAGCACCATACAGAGAACACTTTGGACACAAGCATTTCAGTGTGTTTTCACCTGACAAATTATGATATGCAATGATACCTAGATATTTATAACATATAGCCAGTTTAATTTCAATTACTTGAATCCTTTTGCTCTTAGGAAGCGTAGACAACAACTTCTTTTGCCATTTGAGAATAACATGAACTTGGATTTAACACAAACCTCAAAGGCAGGTTTGTGTTAAAAGGTTTTCACTCTTCAAGGGGATGAAAAATAGTTAACTGTGTCATCTACAGATAAATGGAATGCAGTATTTGGATAAAATATCACAAAGGTTATTTACATATAGAGAGATAAAGAGTGGTCCCAATATAGATCTCTGAGGAGCTCCTGTGGATACTGGGAGAAACAAAGAAGAAGACTCAGCAAAGAGGACATACTGTGGTTTAACTGACAAGTCATTTAGTTTTTACTGATAAACCACTATTGTTCGGTCTGTTTATTAACATTACATGCCCAACTGTGTGATCTGTAGTTTTTAACATATGAAGGACGACGTCCTTATCACCTCCCTAGCATCAAAAAAGGGAATATTTCTATATTTCCATATCACCACTGTTCCAAAGCATACGATTAAAAATGATAAGTTTGTGGTTCATCCAGCTTAAGAAAATAAGATTTAAATTGATGTGGTCTTGAATTCATTGTAGCCAGCAGCTTTAAAGCCTTGTGGATCGCCATGACATTCAGAAAAGAAAAGCTGAAGAGTTGAATACAAGATTAATTTCTAGTAGTTGCAAAGATAACCTGTTCATTAAACTGTTTTAAATCTTTATGTAAAGATTCAAATAAAGACCCTGAAGAAACCAAATATTTATTAAAGCCGTTAGGAATGTCACTTTTTTTTTTTTTTTTAGCTAGGAATAAACCAGGTTTAGTTTTTCTGGCCTTAGCCCAGCCACCATCATTTTCTTTGAGGTGACTGGACAGCATTTTACTCTAAATTTGCGGATAGGGCCATGTTTATTTAATATTTTAATGAAAATGTATTTCCATGGCAAATCAATATCACTAATCAGGTTCTATTCAAGTTACAGTGAATTGCGGAAGAAAGGTTGCTAAAAAAAATGTAGTTTAAAAAACAATTTGTTATCTTGATTTCAGGAGTATCGATTACCTGACTGCATCTACAACACAGTGATTACTGGCACCATTTGCAAAACACCAATATGGGAATATTTATGGGGAGAGTTAGTAAAAGAGGGCATTTCAGATTTGGACAAGTTGGACTGTAAATTAGTTCCGTGAGATTAATATTTGTAAATGTAAAACTGTCTGAGACAGAAGATAGTCAGTGCGAGTTAAAATCTCCAGCGAGGAGAATTTAATTAAGATCTACTGTAGATACTCATCTTGGTAAAATACATCATTAACGCCTCAGCAGAAAGCAAGCAAGACCTCGATATATAGTAATAGGTTATTAACAACATAGAACAAACAGACAAACAAAGGCTTTTTATGTGCAGTTTATTAAACAGCTCCCTTTCCCGCTGCACGACCGCTTATCCTCTTGTCTTTAAATTAAAAACAGACGCTTACATGAAGAGAGTGCATTTTATCTTCAAATTAAAAGCACAACTATACCTTACAGCCACACGCAAACATTGTGCTCGGTCAGAGCAACATTTAAACATACTGTTACAGTCAGTGATTAATAATAGCGCAATATGTCTTTGCATTCTGGCGTTAAATGTTGTTATTGTAAAAATTAAGGGAACCCAAAAACTACTTCGAAATTCAAGCGGAAACAGGAAAGAAGCTACATGATGTCAAGATCGCCATCGGCCGACGCCTAGTTACGGGAAATACGGTAAGTGAAGAATATATAGTATTTATCATAAATGGTTTAACGAAATTAAGAGCTTTCTGACTTCAGTGTTTCCCGCTGTTTGTCGAGAACTCGATTTCTCGATTTACATGTTTGACTGTTTAACGAATACTTCAAACATTTTGGGCCTAAGTTTTATGTGAAATGGCGGTGAATGTGGCTAGAAGGAAGTTAGTGCGCGTGCACACAATAACAGCGCGTGTATACACATGAAATTACTGTTTAGTCAAATTATGTTCATTTTAAATGAATCGCTAAATAGTTAAACATCAAAGGTGACCATTGGTAGGTAAATTGTTATAGTGGCTTACTGTAGATTTTACTGTACAGAATATAATTACCGTCGTACTGCTTATACTTCTCAGTGGTACCCTCATTTTATTTTTATTTTTTGTCACAAAGGCTGTACTAACTCTAAACATGGATATGTTGATGTTCTTACCTGGTAAAAAAAAATTAAGAGCATATTAGTGATATAAAAAAAAACTTGCTATATTTGTTATAGGAGTCCTCATAAGAATAGCCGTTATGTATGTTATTGTATGTTGTCGCAATATATGCAGTCATATATCTTTTTATGCTCTTATCTGTTTCATTTAAACATTAGAGCCCTCATGTAATCTGATAGAGCTAAACAATTACATTCACCAGATGTAATTGTTTACATTAGTCACTCTTGGCAGGTCCTATTTTTCAGGTCCAAGTTATGCTGGGCCTCCATAATGCACCAATGCTTGCTGGATCTTTCTTGGCCCAGAGTCAAACTCCTGGCCTGCATTTACAAGCGAAGCAGCACTGGTCCAAGTCCACCCTTAAACGAAAAACCTTTTGTTCCTCCTGTGCAAATATGACTGTATTAAGATGAGCTCACTATATAGAAAATGTATAGAAAGATTGCAGCTTAGTAGAACATTATTATAATATACATGCTTTTAGATTTGTTGACTTTGGCCATGTTTAGTAAACCTATGTTGGATAGCATTGGGAAATGGAGAAGAATGTTTTTCGTGAGGTGTCAAATACACATTTCTATTATTGATTCATGAGAAAACTGTTTTCCGAATTAATTTTAATTTGTCAAAGAACCCAGTAATGTTTACAGAAAAACTGGGATAACATTAATAACAATGGCTTAGCTCTGAATTTTCCTGGGTAATTATTCTTTTAAAATGCAAGGAGTTTATAGAACATCTCAGTTTAATGGAAATAATGTACAGCAAAGAGAGGACTATGCATTCTTACTGTAACTGACTGTTTCTTCATTGAAGTTAATATTGAGGAAGTAACTAGAAAAAGGGAAGTTGTTAGACATTAGACAAGAGGTATGACTGAGTACTTGGAGCTGCATTTAAATGTGTGCCTGCAGATGTTTTTTTGCAATCTTTTAGAATGTGTAGTTGAGGACTGGAATGCTTTCCTGAGAAGCAGCCACCGGTTCTCTTAAGGAACTCTTGCCTGTGTTTTCTGAGTTCCTTTTAGCAGTCGTTACTAAAGGCTTTGGAATTTCATTAATCTCTGTGAGAGAAACAGAGCAGCAGAAGCTGTACAGTCACCAACTGTATGTTTTGTTACAGTTTAGTTCAAGATTTCCACAGCAAAGGTTATTATGGATTAAAGTTTATAGTGTGCACTATTAGTTACATGTTTATTAGATATGTGTAGACATTTAGGGTGCAAAACTCCTCTAAAGCATAATTGTTTAGGTTTCTGGTGACACTGACAGGTTCAGTTTGCATGTAAATGAAAAGACTTTAGTGTTGATTACTTGACCTGCAAAATGAATTTGCAGAATTTGATAATCAGTCATTGCCATTTCTCCAGTTAGTAAAATGCCATGCTTGTCAGTGCAGAAAGTTGGAACAGAAGTTAAAAAATGACCTTAGAGTTGCACAGACTTCTTTTGCAAAAAGTGAAATATTCTCAGGACTGCATGAGCAATATATGGCAATAGTGAAGTACATTGGAGATTCATTTCAGGTATAGGGTTTCTAGAAATGAAGTTTGGAATATGGTCAGAATTGGTGGTGTGCCCCAAGCTGAGACGTATAGGCCGATTCTTATCTGTTTTACAGTCTGTTTCCAGATTCATTCACAGCTTAAAACAATCCATCCAAAACAAAGCAGAATTTCTGTCAAGCTTTTAATAATATGAAGAGGCAATTAAAAACATGAAATTTAAAAATCAAAACCAGCAAATTGCAAAGCAAAAAACAACTTCACCCCAAAAAACACTGGTCACAGTGACATCTTAAAAGAAACCTTAAAATCTTGAACCTTGAACTAGTAACTTTTGACAGTTTTTTTTGTCACACAGTTAATCTGTTGCACATAATGTTGTGGCTAAACTGACTAAATATTTCAGCTCTAGACAGAATGAGTAAATGAGAAAATGATTGGCAGACGAACTGATAATTTGTACTAATTGTTGCCTTTTTTATGAGTCATAATATGTGAAGTTGGTGACTAATAGAGTACCAAAAACAAAATTCTAAATGCTTTGACTGTCTACAATGTCTGTACCTGTGTCCTTAAGCTTATGCCGGTTTAGCAGAGATATTGTTGTCATGACAAACAGTTTCCTTATCAGTAGGGGTGGAGTGAGCAACTTCCATTGAGCTTTTCGATTAAGGCATGTACCAGAACCTGTCAAGTGGTGTTCCGAGTTTCCTGTAGTGGTTTTTATATGACTAAGTTGTTTTTCTGCTCAAGAGAAAAGCAAGTGAGATTATTTCAGATAGAGCCATCAGATTATTGACAGCTCATACGCTTGCCTCAGTCTAAACACTGTTTTCGGAAATAATTTTTCGCAAGAAGATGCTCATAATGTGAGTTTTCACACTGCCACATTTTCATAAAGAAAGAAACTCTTTGTTGTTTTAACAACAGGACATATAGTGGAGAATGTGGGCGTGTGACATGACATGTGACGGGCTCTTGAATGTTGGCTTGCTACAGGGCACGCACTTATTAGAATATCAGAGCAAATGAAAGGCCACAAATCCCTTCACATTTAGTGGTGTGAATGTGTACAGAAAGTTGACTGTCCATTCCAGGTGATTATCAGACTACCTGGTTTAAAGTGCACAGAGAATTGAAATTGTTTTTCACCCATTAAAGAAACTTTTTTAACTGATGTTTTGCTTTTTGAACAAATTTGAATTCAGTGCTGTGCTGTACGAATCATATCCTTTACTTATTCCTCATTAAAACCCTGTATCTTGATAGTATGCAAAGATTGAAAGGATTTAGATATTACCACTACTTGCATCACAGTTCATAGTTCACATTTTATGTTTGTCACCATACCCATAAGCAAACCTGATCCTTTAATTGGTAGTACTCAAGAGGGCAGAGCAAGTAAACCAGCCCTGTTAGAGGGAGCAGAAGGAGGGGGGAATATGGGGAAGTGTAGATGCATTTCCCATAAGTCATAGTCAGCCAGCTCCTCCCCCCAGTTGGCTGAAAGCCAGCATCAGGAGAGCAGAAAGCAAAGCGGCAGCGACTGAGCCGAGTCGTTACTGAAAAGTCGAACATGAAGGCACGCAAACGGAGCACCTAGTTCGTGTCGATGACAGGTTATTCAGAACAAATACTTGAGAATGCAGTTCAGACTGGCATCTATTGGTATGTCTGCCCGCTACGTCGGCTCACACATACAGAGTCTGTTTTTGTGCCTGTTTGTTGCAGTGGGGTTTTCTCTATTTCCTTTCCACGTAAATTCATTGGGGTGTGGTGGTGCAGCGTCTTAAGACGGAAGTGACAGTTGAGTTGCTTCGCTCTAGATAATCTTGCGGTGCATGAAGTCTGCGTACAAGGTAGTATCATTAATAAACTCAAACAGCTTTAACGTAATTTTGATTATGTTTTGATGTTATTTTTTGCTGTATTGTTACTTGTATCTATACTTTATTGGTGTTGTCAGCAGCAAAAGCATGTAGTGTGCATGTGATTGTTTTAGTCAAGAATTTAGGCTTAATCTTTGTGTGATAAGCTGCTAGTGTAATGGACAAACTGATGCAACTAATTGCAACTGTAGTGCTCTAAATGTAGTTCTCAGTTTGTGCCTTTTAAACTGCATGTAGTTTTCCTGTGTTGGTTTTACAGTCTTACCTGTTGTGCTGGTGATAACTTTTAAGGTGTGAACAGGCAGCCATGCAAATCTTTATTTCAAATTAGCCCAGGCTGTGCAGCCCAGGCATTGCCTAGGTTACTTCCTCTGACTGAAACAGACTGCATGCACTGAGCGACAGAGTTTGCAACTGTGAAAACAAGGCCGGGGTTTAATTTCCTGTCTCATCTGCCCACCTCAAATTTCACAGTTTCAGTTCATCTGCGCTCCTAACCATGTGTGGCGCAGTAAAATATGTTAAACTTCAAACGAGCCATAATGAAGCATATCAAATTATTTTTGCGTTTATGCATGGGTGTATATTTCCGTCGTAAACCTTTCAGTCGGATCTTCAGTCAGATTTATGAGCTTTTCTGTTGTGCTCGATTACAGCAGGCAAATGGCACCGTGGAAAGTATTTGCAAAGTGTGCCATAGATGCAAACTGAAAAAATACTAAGAATGAAAAATTAAGAAAAAATGAACAAAAACAAACAGCAAAATGCATTGCAACCTTTAACCTGAGATGTGTTTAGTTTTCAGAATCCATTTGTTCCCCTTTTTAGGTATCCTCACTCCCACGCTCACATTAGCAGATAAAAGTCCTTTGTTACATTTTGGAGAAATGGTTTATGCTTATACAAACTTCACAACATTTCTAAAGGTCACTCTTGATGAGTCGCAGCAAGCATCTGACTAACTGAATAAATATCACGCACTGTGAGCTCTGAAGTAACGTGTGCATCAAAATCGAAAGCTCGGTTTATAAAGGAGCCAAATATGTTGCCCTCGACCAAAGACAAATTCACTAATTAATATTTAAATAATAATACTAAAAAAGTTACTTTTAACTCTTTGGTTATAGCCACACAAACAACCCAGGCATCTATAACTAAAACGAAATTGATTAACTCTTATTTAAGATTAAAGACAAAACATAAAGGCAGGAGACAGTTGATAAGGAAGATCGTTATTTATCAGCTGCTTGTGTCTCTTGCAGATTTAGAAGATAACATGGCGGTGAGACAGAGGCTCTTCAACTCAACAGCGCCTTTCACTGGACCACCAAAAGCTGACCTGAAGGGGACATATCCATCATGCTCCAATGCAGAGCAGGAGACTGAGGAGGCGCAAGATGAGGGGAAGGATGGCAAAATGGGATTTACGCAAAAGTGGTCTGCTGATAAACTCACTAAACTCCTGACACATGGAACTGCAGAACAAGTGGAAGAAATGCAGTTCAAGACCTCAACCATTGTTGCTCAGGCAGAATGTAAATATATCTTATTTTTATAGTGTATCACATCAATGAACTTTCCTGTGAGCCAATTTTACATTAACACTGTGCTCGTTTAGGTGAAACCCAGGACTCCCAAGAGTTCAGCCCGTCCTGTTATGACCGCTCCTTCCGTGCCTTCCCTAAATGCTTAACCACCAGGTAAGATCTTGGGGACATTCTCCGCATTATAAATAAAATTTCTGTTTAAGGGTCTGTGCTGAATTGTGTAAACATGCCTTAAATTCCTTTTGCTTTCTTCGAATTTCTTTTGAAGTCTTTCATCTGACCAAAACAATGTGGCGTGCCAAACAATGGCCACCATCCAGGAAGCAAGCACATCAATACTCTCCTCAAGAAAGAGTACCCATAGGAGACAGAAACGTAAGGGGAAGAGGAAGAAGCAGCAGAAGAAGAAGGACAAGCAGCGACAGAGACGTCGAATGCCTTCTGGAGTGCCTGAACAAGAAAGTGGAAGTTCTCTGATCCCGATCCTGGTGAGGTTACTCATCACATCTCTCTGAGTCTTGACTATGAAACTGGATTCAAAAATAAGTTAATATTTAGTATGCTGTGCTGTTAAAAGAATTTAAATTGTCTTCAACAATAGGGTCCTAATCTCTAGAAGTTCCCATGTAAACATTACCCTTCCTAAATTGTGGAAGTGAAACATTGAATTCCAACAGCCCCGCCTCTTTAGGCCTTGAATTTTTAAGCCTAAATTTATCGGAGGATGTAAACACTATATTGTCTAAGAACTTTTTTTTCTTCTTCTTCTTCTTCTTGTAGGGGGACTCTTCTGTTGAAGAGAGAAGCGATCTCAGCACCTCTTGCTGTAGCAGCTTTGAAAGTTCAGAGGAAGACGACCGAAGGGCTTCTTTTTACAGCCAACAAGTTTACAACAAAGGCTCAAGCTGTTCCCCTTTGAACTGGCCAGTTTTGGGTAACCTCTCCAGTGTTCGGTCATATGAGCACAACAGCAGCTCAGACTCTCTTAGCAGTGTGGGAGACTGCTCACTGGCCCTTGCTGGGCTCAGAGGCTGTGTCAGTCAGGGGGATCCATGCTACACAGGGCCATTTTTCAAAGAAGTGGAGAGGGAGACTAGAGAAGACGAAGACGAGTTCTCGGAAGCTGACTCTGTTAGCAATGAGGGACTCATTTTTTATCATGAAGTAAGTTCTGCTTTGCTTCAGTCTGCTTGCTTCAGTATGTTTTGATTTGAAAAGTGGCTGAACCAAACTAACCTGTTTGTCTCTTCCTGACAGAAAATTCAGCCTGTGGACTCAGAATACAAAGAAGGGAGAGAGTATGTCCTCCAGCACTTCATCAAGGAAGGCTCCTATGGTGAAGTACACAGTGCTGAAGATGTGAACAGTGGGTTCAAATTTGCTGCCAAAAAGGTAATTTACAGCATATCGATTTGTATAAAAACAGTCTTGTATAAAAGTATGTACATAATCTTAGTATTTTACGTTCCATCTTTTTCTTAAAGATTGCCCTGAAGAGGTTCAACAGTGAGGAGGTGGGTGCGTGGAGTGCCCTCAGATCTCCTCGTGTGGTGAAGCTCTTTGGAGTGGTTAGAGAGGGGCCTAATGTCGTCCTTCTGATGGAACACAAAGCTGGTAAACAATCCCACTATCTTCCCTTCACACACAGCGTATGTTGTTGATACTAACTACTCCTGTTGTCATTTAAACTCAAGAAACAGATGGAATCAATTAAGTGCACAAACATGTACAGTACATGGAACTTGAGTCGACTGAGTTCAAGTGCAGAAAAATACGGATGTGATTAGTGTTGAGATGCGGAAGTGGGTGTTTCTGGGATGCTCGAAATGACTGTTGACCTTACTCAAAGAGTGTTTGTCCAAACTGCACCAAACGTGTGACACAAGCTCCCTTCCTGATAAACATTGATATACCTGACACATTTTTCCATTGTCATTAAATGCTGGCTTCTTTACAAGTCATAACCCAGAGGAAAAGATTAATCAGATGCTCTCTGTTGGTAAATATTACTAAGACAACAGTCTTTGTCCCGCTCTAACATTTTGTGTTATTCCAGGCTCTTTGGGCCAGCTGATAGTGGAACGTGGTCGACTGCCAGAGGATTTAAGTCTCCACTACCACTCTCAAGTTTTAACAGCGTTGGAGTACTTAGTGAAGAAAAGGGTGGTGCATCTCGATATTAAAGGTATATTATACAAATACCATACCTTTGAATTCTTAGATGACTTGAATGTTAGCCTCATATTTATGATGTTTGGTGTGCCCACTTTATGACTGAACAGCCATTCAAGTCATTCATCAACACATGTGGTTATTCATGACACGTATCTTAAGAGTGAGCTTTTATAAGAAATTTAGTGTAATTTAATCAATTTACAACAGCAAATAAATCCACAAAGTGAAGTTGTTAAGTTTTATCCACTTTTTATCTCTATATAATGTACAAATTAATAATGACTGGGACTGTTCCTGTGACTTCCTAAATATTGGTGATGTTGTCGAGTGATAAAGTATGGAATGTAAATGTTAAATCCAAAAAAGTAACAATATATCGATATTGGCACTGCCTCACAACACTTTCATTATGAACATTAACAGCTAGAGAACAATAGTAATAACAGTAAAACTAAGAAATGTGTCAGCTTGACTTTTACTTGTTGTGGTAGTGGAAAGTTGAAAAAAAGACAGAGAGAAAGTCAGATTTGTAATTAGTTCTCATCAGAGGATTTTGTGTCTATGCGCAGCTGTTGTTTGGAACACAAGTGTCATAGATACAGTCTAGATTTGATCTTCAAGCACCTGGGTTGTGAAACCAGATTACCACAGAGAAAAAGACGGGCTGGGAATTTCCCACAGTGTGACTCACTGCTGTTCTCTAGACACGGCGCATGTGCACAAAATCAGGAGAGCGAGAGAGAAAGGGAGAACAAAACGGAGTGAGGGGGGGGATGGGACAAAGAGCAGGAAGTAGTTCGAAAGAGAAGAAGAGTAGAAAAAGTACAATGGACAGAAAGAATACAGAAGATGAAAATAAAGTGGAAAGGGTTATATAGAAGAACAAAGGAAACACAAAAACAGAACAGACACTGAGATTGAGGAAGTGCAAAAAAGACAGAGAATATCTTAAGAGCTGACAAGACATGTTTTGTGGTGTATCTCAAGCGCCATCTGCTGTCTGTAATTTCTCAGGAAAAGCTAGACAATAATACCACATCTCTTCTTTATCTGCGTACGGTTTGTGACTAGTTTCCACATCCATTCCACATTAAAGAGTTTAGCACAGCAGCTGTCCCTGTGTGACTTCATATTTTCCATTCATTTGGCTCCTTTGTCTTAGACTGTTTTGTCTAAGCAGCTGCCCTGTTTCTAATTATGTCATCTAAAAACTACACAGCACAAGTCATGGAAATCAACCAAGCACCACTGACATCACACAGCAGCACACAGATTAATGCAATGGATTACTGACTCTACTTGTTTCTCACAGCCGACAACGTGTTGCTGTCGGACGATGGTAGAGACACCTTCCTATGTGACTTTGGACATGCCGAAAGGCTCGACAATCAGGGTCAGAGCCTCAGTAGGTCCAAAGGTAAATACTTTGTCACTGAGTAATTTGGCAAGATGTGCAATTTCTCCACTTACATGTCCGAATTCACAATTTTCTCAATGTATTTGATTACAGATCTGAAGGGCACAGAGACTCACATGGCCCCTGAAATAATAAAAGGAGAACCCCGCGGAGCTAAAGCAGATGTGTGGAGCAGCTGCTGTATGTTACTGCACATGCTCAATGGTTGTCAGCCTTGGACAAGATACTATAATTGTCGCCTTTACTTGAAGGTATTCTTCGAATACTTTATTGACAGATGTTTGTTCTTTAGAGTACTCGTATCAAGCCTTGACTGAATTTCCTTGGTTGATTGGTTTACAGATTGCTAACGAGCCCCCGCCTCTGAGAGAGATCCCACCTGACTGTGGCTCTCTCACTGCTGAAGTTATAAAAGCAGGACTCCAGAAGGATCCACTGAAGAGATCATCAGCAACTGACCTCAGAGAAAAAACTGACAGAGCTCTAAGAGAAGGTAAATCTGCACTGCATCTGGCTTGATGGTGGTTTCAGCAGTGAGTTTACAGACAATTGAGAGTTTGTTATTTTGCATTTATATGGTATGGAATGCTCTTTTTAGTGACCATCAGTTGACCACATTGAGTTTAGTAATACCTGCTATACATTTTTTAATCAGTTTATCGTAGGTACATAAGTTCATTTAATTTTTATTGATTTGATTGCAGTTGGAGGACTCACCAACCCAGTGAAGGGTCCCTATTTAGAGCCCTTGCTTAACACCAACAAACCAAGTGACTCCATGCAACTCATCAGCAGCAGTGCTGACTTTGAGGATGAAGAGATGCACCAAGAGTCCATGGAAAAGCTGATCACAACAGGGAGGAGGACAAAGAAACTGACTGATGAGGAAGAGGCAGACGCTGATTCTAAGAAATCGAAACGAGGCTCGCCTCATGAACCACAAATGCTGATCTCGGAGCTGAGCCACAAGAGGGACAACAAAATCACCACGGTACCTGAACTTGAGCTACGGAAGCTGGTTGGAGGTGAGGTTTTCTTTAAGCTGTATTTAATTTCAGGTGTTAAGTATGGCAGATGCTTGAACTCTGTATGCTTTTGTTTTTTCGTTTGTTTGCAGATTTCTATCTGAGCAGCCTCTCCCAGCTTCATTCTGCTGAGATGCAGGAGCAGTTGTTGTCTTGCCTCAGCAGTGACCCTTACTCGAACTGGGAACCATGGGACAAAAAGGTAAATCAAAATGCAGAGCAGAAATAAAGCCAAAATATCAGGGAAAACATGTTGTTAGGCGAACAGTTTTTAAAAGAACTTCTCTGGCGGCCTATTGTTTTGGTTAACAGCAGAAATAATAGACCTACTGTTTGGTTTGTGTTCCCCTTTTTCCAGGACTCTGGCCGCTGGTCTCTGAGCCCAGGAGACGACCTCAGCTCCGGTGTCTTCTCCTACAATAGCCAGCCAGATGTGCAGGTGTTCAGTTTGGATTTCCTGGGTCACACACAGCAGCCACCACCTTGCTGTTTTGAAGGTGAGATAAAAAGCTCTTCTGTTTAATATGATACCTAATTGTATATAATTTTTTTTCTCTTTGGTCATGTGCCTCACTCTGCTTTATGATTGATCCAGGGGTGGATGTCTGCATCAGAGACTTTAGTGATAAGAAAATCCGGATCAGAGAGATGCGTCGGGTGAAGGTGGGCCATATTGCCACTGGAATCAGTGATCAGGTGAGGTATACTCACAGAATCCCACACTATTATATCCAAAAAGTATATGTTGTTTGTCCATTTAAGTAGAAAAAATAGAAGATTATACTAGTTTGACGTTTATCTGTGTCTGATTTAGATCTCTGAGAGGGTTTACACACTGAAAACTGAGCACGGCCAGCAGATTGGTCACGATGAGGAGGTACAAGAGTCCGGCCTGGAGCTCCGCTGTTTTCCAGCTCCAGACTTCAGCACTTCTTGGAGATGGAGAATCAAAGATGGCATGCTGGAAACACGATAGAGCCCTCAGCTACTTTATTCCAGCTGCAATTTCATATTAACCGCTCATCATTTCATGTTGTGCTTCGAACAAGTGTCTTTGGCTTTTGTTGATGTGTGAGGGACCATAAAACATTTGTGAGCCTCCACTTTAACAAACTGCTTTTGCCTAAAATATCGTAAATTAAAAATAAAATGAAATATAAAAGAGGATTGATTTTTAGCATTGTGTCTTGTAATGTTGCATGTGTCAATGTTTATGTTGAGTCAATAAATAGAAAACTGTGAAGTCTGTGAAAAAAGTTTGATCTCTCTTTTTATTTCATTAAAAAAAAACAAGTTTGTAATACTTATAAATTGATAGTTCACATGATTTAGAAGTTACAGCTATATAGTTACTAATTATATTATTACTATTACTATAATAAATATAATGGTTTCCTATTAGGGTAAAATTGGTCTCATTTTACTTTTCAGCCTTTTAAGGTTATATCCAATATCCTTTAATTAATAATAATAATAATGATAAAAGAAAGGCCTTAGTCTGGTGACTGATGACTATGACATATTTACCAGAAACTTTGGTGCAGAGCAAGGCTAATGCCAGAGAAGACATTATTAATATCTAAAGATTATTTATCAGTTTGATAATCCACCATTTCTCCAAAATTATCTGAAGGATATACTTTGGATTACTAAGCCTTGGGTTATGTTTATAAAAATGAAAAGGTTGATGTCTTAACTTGGACATTAAAAAATATCAGTGTGCTTCCCGGTGTCTTACTTTGCATTAAAAATTGACACTAATGTATAATCTAACTAGCACATTGTTTGTGTTGATCTATACAAGTTCAAACACCTCTCGGGAGACTAAGTTTCTATTTGTCTCTACATTTCCAGCAACATATGCATTTTCTAGGAACAGGAAAGCAGGAATAGCTGGTATGCTGATTTACTGACGTAAGAAAAAGTAGGGGGTGTGACTGATGGCAAAAAGTCTGAGCCATATTTTATGAGATCTTACTGCTGTAAGCCTTTTTAGTATAGTCAACATTCTGTGTGTGATTAAAGCACAGCTACAGATAATAGTTAAAAGATTTATTTTTAATATTACAGCATACAAAGTCACTGCAAAAAGATTTCAAGGGAGACTTGAAGGAAATTTTACTCTTACAAATATGATATAGAAAAGGTGAAAACTTGAGAATATCAAAATGATTTCAGAGTTAAAAAAGAAAACAAAAACCACCAAGGCACTGACAAACAAGAAGAACGTATAAAAAGACTTTTGCTGTTTAGACAAAGTCGCAGTTTGAATAACTCACGTACAAAATACAGTACTTTGAATATGTGTAAAGTGAGGTAAGAATCTGTGAGCAATCCATTGCTTTCTGTGTCTGCAGCGTCAAACCTTCAGTAGACCAAAAGAACACCGAGAAGTAACAGAATTATTGAGTGTCACGTTAAGGTCAGAATGCTGGTCAAAATGCCCCCAAACACCATATGATTGTATATTACACAAGATTGCAGTTCTTTTACTATCCTTTCAGAGAGATTATCTGACTGTTTTTTAACCATCTGATGATTCATGTTAAACGTAAACATAACTTTATATAGAAGAATTGGGTGCTGCACCTACTGGAAGAAGAGAAATGAACTGGGGGTTAATTAAACCCAAACTTTTATCAGAGTTCTCTTAATATATACCGTTTTCTAAATATTTCCGCAAAAATATCTCTTTAACTCCATCGAATATGACCACCTTACACATTCAGTGCCAGCAGAACATTACAGATTTACACCAGTGAACACTCACAAATACATGAGAATGTGGATTGGCTAGCATACAGACAATGATGTAAAGGATGGAGAGAGTGGGAAGAGCAGAAAGGCAATTTCTGTGAAAAAAAATAGCAAAAAACTAAACAAAACAAGGGAAACTCTTAATTTGATCAAAACATTTCTCATAATATCATTTAAGGTAGAAAACAGAATGCAGTGACTTGTGTACCAAGTAAAAAATAAATTAATTAAAATGCATTCCTTGTTCAAGTCTTGACAACCTCTCCCCATCCTTCAATTTTGTGCACGTAATCCTGCACAGCTCGCTTCCCCAGTGGCATAGGCATCTTGAGTGCAACAGCGCTATTAGTCCAACTCCCAATTCTTACATATGAATAAGAGGCAGAAATGAAGAACAATTAATTCGAGATAAGTTCTTCCTGTTGAGTGTATTTCTTTCTGCATTCTTCTTCCTCCTGTGCCATTTCCCTCAATTGTAATTCTTGCTGTCTTTCTCCTCTCTGCTCTTCATGCTTCCCCTCACATCTTGCGAATGACAAGAACAGTGGTAAGGACTCCTGCCAAGAAAACTCCGACCGTCTGCCATGTTGGTGTGCCAAAGTAGGAGCGAATACCCTCCTAAAAATGCCGAAAAGACAGGAAATTTAATATGGACACATAGATTATTGCTAATAAATTAGGTTTATTAGTTTGCTCCTTACCCAGCCACCTTGCTCCCTGATCCAGTTGATCACATGTTCCCGGAGATAGTCTATGGTCCAACTGATAATGGTTCTGATAATATCCGGAATCTGAGTTACAAGAGCCTGTAAAGGTGTAAAGAGAAGATCTTTAGATTTTTTTTAATTCAATAATACATGCCTTACTTTTGTTATTTATTAATTTTAAAATACCAAACATAGCAGTTTCACGTACTTTGATAACGAGTCGGCATGCAAAGTAGAACAGTGCAACCTCCCTGCCCCAGTTAAATATTCCATCTGAAAAGATCTCATAGGCCACTCTCATAAAAACCTCTCTTGTGGGACAAAGCGAAGAGTCATTTATCATTCTAGGGAAAAAGATTGAATAATGGTAAGCAAATAATTTAGTTATTACAGTTATAGTTGAACAAACTTGCATATCATAATACTCCACGCCTTTAAAGTTGCCTGAAGAGGCACACAGACAAGTTACCAACCTTTGGAGCTCTACATTTCCATCCAGCTCATCTCCAATCTGCTGCAGGCACTGAGCAAGCTTCTTATGTTTTGGGTCAGTCAGCTGGCTTCCACCAAGCTGTTCTCTCGTCACTGCATTATTGCCATCTCCTTGCCTCTGAACTCGCTCATAGATGAAACTATACAGCACAAATACACAACAGTAAGCCATCTTACACTTTCTCTAGTTCAACAGCAAGAAACCAAAGTGAAGGGGTTAAGATGACCTGGTTACCTAAGCTGGTTGTCATCATTGAACCTTGGCACATTAGCACTTTCAAAATGGACTGTTACTTATATATAGCACTTTACTACTCTCTTTGAGCGTTTAATGTGTTTTCTTACAACAAGCCTCGTTCACATATGATACATATTTTCTTTGTGCCAAAGCACTTTTAACCCAGCGTTAGGACACTAGCACTCTGACGGATGTGGCAAGGTCAACATGAGATTTACTATTTATGTTGACATGCAACCTAGAAGATCAAACAAACAGCCTTGCAATTGGTAGGTGACCAGCTCTTCCTTCTGAAACAAGTCAACAAAGGCACTCAAACTCCTTACACCTAACCCCTTATATCAAGTTGATTTCCTTCACAAAAATGATATATTTCACATATAACTGCTACCCAAGAGTGTAGTGTGTACTCACTCCTGTAACAAAATAGTTCCGACTTCCAGTATCTGATCTCCGGAATTCCCTGAAAGACAAAGGTAGACACTCATTAGATGACTCAAGCATTTCACTACATATCGTACTGTGTATGACTGTGTACGTGACAAATAAAATTTGAATTTGAAAAATTTGAATTTCAAATGCTGATAAATAAGCATTGCGCCATATTATTATGAGATCACTTTAGATGACAGAAAAATTATACGTCAATTCTTAGTTTCATCGTAGGTATTTTTTTTCGTAACAATTAGTTTAAACACGTTTGTAAAACTATTGTTTTTGTAAATTATTTATATCTCCTGTTCAACTCAACTCTAGACACCTGTTTGTCCGTAACATATACAAAGGCAATACATCAAATCTGGTGTTAGTTATTTAGTTGATAGTATTAATTTAAGTTAATTCGCGTTAAACACTGTCGTAACTGAGGAAATTTGCCATTTTTTTTAATGTCAAAAGGATGCCGTTTCCAAATGTGTACGTTTCGCTTTTGGTCAAACGCGTTTGCTTACTCTTTGTAACGCGAACATCTACACAACGCAGTGCTAACGCAAAGCTAACGTTTAGCTACTTTTGCTAAGCTAAGCCCTATCCATGTTAACGATACACTTAGCAAGCAATAAAGCGGCAAACTAAATGTTAACTGTTAAAGCGCCACATTATCTGTGTCTATCGGACTCCCACCGACACTGTCAGAGTCGAAATATATGTATTTTATTTGTTGACGATAGCTGCCACTACCTTGATCGCCTCCTCCCGGGTGTGATGCCATCTTGTTTTCTGTTTGGGTCGTTTCTGGTTCCCGTGCAATCACGTGATAACAGTTATTTGTTCGTACCAGTGGGCGGCACTTGCCACCCTCACTTTTTCACCCTCTAGTTTAATTTACAAATATACAAATAGAACTATAGGCAACAGAAATAGGGAAAAACTATAATGTCCCCTACCACACGTAAAGTGGTACGATAACTCTGTAATTTTAGTCCAAAAAAAGTCTGTTATATCTTTTTTTAGCCTCGCCTAAATGAACGTCATTTCCCGTACCTCGGTGTCTTCCGTCCGTCGCGCGCATACACAGGCCTCTTTACGACTCGGCTGGCAAAGATGGCGGATGCACAAGTATGTTCGGCAAAACGGCGTGGTGACTTTAAATCGACATATTTACACTTTAATAAACCTTTTATTCATCTAGAATTAAGTATATGCCATTATAGCGTTCTTATATTTGTTCCCGAGTCACTTCAAACTACATTTACGCGCTTATAGTCAACATTTTTTGCTCCTCTGTACTCCCTCGTGCAGCGCTCAAGTAGCCGGAATGGTAGCCTGGTTAGCTTAACGTGCTATTACTTACCATTCCCTATTAATACGGCTTCTACTCTTTGCATGTTGTGCGTGTTAAGTCTTAGCGTTTAGGCACGTCTTCTGTAACTTGTTAGGCTGCATGTCATATTAACCAAAAGTGAACATAGTTTTTAGTGAGAGGAAGTAAGTCTTAAGTCGACTAACGAGCGGCGGCGTGTGAGAGAAATGCGTGGTGAAGGTGATGTGATTTCTATTTCAAAGCTTTAACTCGCTGATCTGTATTTCTGACCAGACCGAGAGATCCTATCAGAAGCAGCCT